CGCTCGGCCGGGGAAGGTGTGACGCTGAGGGGCCGAGCCCGCTGATCGAGCCCGCCGACTCCGACTCACGGGGCGACGCGGACGGCCAGCAGCCGCCGCAGGGCCCCGACGAGGAAGACGAAGACGAGTACGAGGAGGAGCAGGACGCGGACTGTGAGGCGCCGCTCCCCGCCGCCATGCTGAGCATCTTCCGCTCCATCCCCACGGAGATGGTAGGGCAGCCGTCACGGGAGGCCTGGCCGGGCCCTCGGCCCCTTGTCGCTGCTGGCGACATGGCTGCGTGCGGGCTGTAGCGTTCCCCTTCCTCCGTGCGGTGTTGGCACCCGCGTATGAGGGAGGAGCTGCCGCTGGGGCAGCTTGTGTAATAACTCTTGTGTAATTTCGATTTTTTGGGGCTGAAAAGTCGAGCTTTAATATGCTGTAAAATGAAAGTCATGTACAGCTCTGCAAGGGAAACCCCTCTCTACTCTTCTGCCTGTGTTATGTACAAGGTAAAATGTTTTCATCATTTTCTAAAGTCACACAAACACAGCTGACATACATAGCATTTCCTTGTAAACACAGACTCTTTTGTGGTGTTAGGGCTTTTACTCAAGGATATTAAGCTAACTACAATGATATTTTGAACTTGCATTACTTCCCCTGAACAGACAGTGCTTGCATTTATTTTCAGATGATGTGATCAAGACTGTAGGGGACACATTAAGGGAATTAAGAGCTTAATTCTTCTTGTACACTTGAAATCCAGACACTGTAAGAAAAATAATTCCAGTCTGGTTTGAAAGTTGAGCTGAGAACCTGTGGTCAGGCTGGCTCCAGGCTCTAACCTGGAAGAGCTTAACTGTGTCTTGGGTAACTGACCAAAAAAAATACCTCTCATTGCAGGACTACAAGGGCCAAAAGTTAGCAGAACAGATTTTTCAAGGGATCATTCTTGTCTCTGCAGTAAGTATACAAAAATTCTGGGTGATAACATGAAGTCTTTTCTTTTGTTTTCTGATCTTACACATGAGGAGGGTTTTTTCTGGTTGTTTGGCTTAACTGGGTCACTAAAAACTTCAGACAAAATCAGAGGGACTGTCATGGATGAAGACTTTTCTTCTTTCAATCTTTTACTTTCTTTAGTGGCCTACAATTCTGAAAACAAGGTTAGAGAGATGTATGAACTGTGCTTTGGAAAAACCTGTATTTTTCTGCTTTTCCTCCTTTGCCCCCCAACTTAATCATGGCATGGGAAATGTTTTTGTTTATTTAAAGCTTGATGTTTTAAATGTTTTGGATTTTTGCAGATAATTGGTTTCATCTGTGGATACATCACTGAACAGTTTGGATGGACTGTCTACATAGTCATGACTGGAGTTGCTTTATCGTGTTTGGTAAGAATTTTTTTTTCCCCAAAACCAGAAACTACATACACTGTTTAATCTGAAATAATCATTAAATTAAGGGGCTGTCAGCACAGACAGATGTTTGCTGTAGGGACACCCGTGTCCTGGGGGCATCCATCACTGCACTACGAGCCGGGAGAGCGAGGGGATCGTCCCCTCTGCTCTGCACTGGGGCGGCCTCACCCCCAGCACTGGGGGCAGTTTGGGCACCACGGGATAAGAAGGACCTAAAGCTCCTGGAGAGTGTCCAGAGGAGGCAACTAAATTGGTGAAGGGTTTAGAGGAGAGGCTGAAGTCACTTGGTTTGTTCA